ATTTGTTTAAGTCTACATTATACTTAAACTTTATTGTANTTTCTTGTATTTTTTGTACATAAATATTATCACTAACTAAATTATAAGAACAGTTTCTATGAAATTTAACTTCTTTAGTTCTATTTTTTTTATTTGGCTTTACTGATTTGTCACAGTTACAAGTTGTTTTTGATAAGTATTTACCACAATACATGCATTTTGTACAAAAAAAACAAGTACCAATTTCATAAGAAGANATGGTTATGAANAATTTTCNTGTTATTTNGCGTTGATAGAATTTCAAATATTGTATGTATAACGTATTAAGTATTATTCTTGTGTTATGTAATAGTTGGATACTCATATTATTACACAAAAATCAGGAAATCAGAATCAAATTTTATTTATTTATTGATCACCACCTGATTTACATATTTTTGAAAACAGCAATAAGTATTATTTTGTTGTATTGGTAGAAATTAAAGGATTAAGTAAGCTATTAAAATTAAAAACAATATTATTCCTATAATCTTTTCTAAATTCTAACAGATATAATGCATTTGTTTTTTAAAAATGTGGTACCACAAATATTTGCACATTGGAGCAGTAAATTTTTACAAATAATTTATCATTATCTAATAATAATTATAAATTATTAAAATCATAGTGAAAAAGTATTGGTATATAAATGGAAAAAATAAAAAAAAGTATGCCTATTAAAATTGGTTGTCCTTCTTGTGATATATTTAAATATTATAATAGTTACAAAGCAGTAGAATGGAAAAACTGGATCATTTTATTTTTATTACCATTATTAAAAATATATCTGAATAAAAGGTATTTTAGCAAAGAAAAGAATTAATACATTCTTTATTAATATTTAATATCTTAATTATTCAAAATATAATTTATTTTATTAATAGATATCTTTAAGAATGATCAAATTTTATAAAGGTTGTAAAGCTTTGTTTAGAATCTAAAATAACAGAAGAGTAAATAGATGATATACAAAATTTGCTTAAAAAATTTTCAGATTATTATGAAAGGTAATAATAATATCTACTTTTACTTTATATATTTATATTTAATATAAAGGGAAAATTTATTCCTCACCCCGGGATGAGATCAATATTCCTCATCCCGTCACGTGATCATATAATGATATATAAATATAACACCTATCGTTTAGCATTAAAATTTGCTCAGTTAGTTCAGTTGGTAGAATGCTAGATATTTTATTTTTTTATCATAGAAACGCAGTTTTGATTCCTGCACTGGACCTTTTAATTTTAATTAATTCCAGAATTTCTTATGTCAACAAAAATTCTCAAGGATTTTTGTTAAAATCGGGATTTAAATTTTTTAATCATTTTTTAAACCTTAAAAAATATGCGTTTATAATACCTATCGTTTAGTAACATTAAAATTTGCTCAGTTAGTTCAGTTGGTAGAACACTAGATATATTTTTTTTTATCATAGAAACGCGGGTTCAATTCCTGCACTGGGCTTTTAATTCTTTTTTTATTTTTATTATGATTATCTTGTATTACTATAACACATCGTGTAATATGCATCTTCGTGATGCATCTTTTTCATGTGTAAACGCGTTTCACTTCCAAAGACGCTTTTTTATTGTAAAACACGTGAAATCACAACAATGCATATTATTGGTGCGGACAGACCAACGGACATTATATCACAATGAGTCTAATCGAAGATGTCCTTCGGACAAATAATGGTGGTAATGAAAACAGTACGCCTTTCGCTGGAAATATAGTAGGTTCTGAATTTGCGAATTGCGTTAGTTTGCCTTCAATCTATACACCAATTGAGTTTGAAGTGGGAACGAAGTTTTATTCTATGTCTATTGCCATTCATTTTGTTAAGCAATTTGCTCTTCAAAAAAACTTTGCAGTTGTTAAACACAAGAACGAAACTTTTTTGGACGGTACTTGTAAGAAGAGAGTACAGATGGTAACCAAAATTATCCGGACACTTGTGATTATCTCACCATCCAGTGATTCAAATTTTACAAATAAAGTCTCATTGAATTCGTCTCATTAATATGAATCGAATGGTGGTCACCTCATGTCTCTAGCATTGAAAGATTACGAGATAAAAGTTAAAATGTCCAAAATATGTTTTTTAACTATATCTTCGTATCTATTGATCCTGAAGATATGATCTAGCCATCATTTGATTCGTCTAAGTGAGATGGATCCAATGAGCCTTTATTCGTCAAATTTGAATCACTGGATGACGAGATAATGTCATAAACGTGTTCTAGCCAAAATTTTTAATTTAAGAAAAATTGGATGTTCTGGCAATTATCTCGTGATCCATCGATGCTAGAGATATGAGCTAACTACCATTCGACCCATCTTGATGCGACGCATCTAATGAGCCATTATTTGCCAAATTTGGATCACTGGATGATGAGATAATCATGTGGCCGAATAATTTTGGTTACCATCTGTATTTAAATGTGATTTAAGGGGGAAATATGAGGAGAAACTTTCAAGACCACTGTTAGGTAAAATAAAGAATAAGGGGAGCAAAAAGTAGGGATGTATGTGGCAAGTAAACATTAATCGAAAAAGAGACTCACCAATAGTATATGTAACATTGTTTAACAATGAACATAACCATGAAATTTCTGTCAAAACTGTAAAGTTTGTTACTGCATACAGAAATTTTTCCGAAGAGATTATAAAGCTAATAGAATTTTATGTTGTGTATGGCTGATGTGATGCAACAACAATTAGGAATCTTCTTCAACCAAAATATCCCGATTGCGTATTTCTTACTCAAGATTTTGAAAATGCTATTCAAAGAATTAAATGAGAAAATGGATTAAACCTGGATGATGCGGCATCTTTGCTAACCAAGCTTCTTGAATTTCAAGCCAATGATCCTGCATGGTTTGTAAAGCCATTATTAGATGATAATCAGCTAGTTGGTATCTTTTGGATGTCACCAGAATAGCGTGAAAGATGGCCAAAATTTCACGATATTATCATTCACGATAATACTGCCCAAACTAACAAGTATAATTATCCATTAAGTCTCTTTATCTTAATTGATAATTATAATAAGAGCAGATTAGCAGCTCAGATATTTATGAAGGATGAAAGGCAAGAATCTTATGAGTGGATGCTTCGATGTTATCTTGAGGCATGCAAGACTCCTCCATTGACATTTGTAACTGATGCTGATCCCGCAATGATCGTGGCCATTTCTATTGTATTTCCCAAAGCTCATCATATGCAATGTTTATATCACCTCTATCAGAACATTCCAAAGAACCTTCGTTCATGTTTAGGTTCGCTATATCAAGAATTTCTTAAAGACTTTAAAGCAATTCAANGATCTCATTGCGAAAGTGTCTTTGAAAGACNATCTCAAGATCTANTTGAAAAATATGCACNGGNAAGAAAATACATAACTACAATGCTACTAAATCGAAAGCATACCTGGGTGAAATGCTTTACATCANGGCATTTTACAGCAGGAACACAATCAACACAACGCGTTGAGTCAGAAAACGCATTAATACAAAAGGCTGTGCA